TAAGTCAGGTTTGTACATGAGTTGAAATAGGTGTACTGTTTGTATCAAACGGCAGCCAGTCAAATGCATATCTAAGTATATGTACAGATGTGTATACAGAAACAAGTATATGTATGTGTGTGTACAGATACATATATGCATACATATATATTCATAGGGACACAGTTACAGGCATACTTAGGAAATATAGTGGGTTCAGTTCCATATCTCTGCAGTAAAGCAAATAGAATGCAAGTCACACGAATATTTTGGTTTCCCAGTGCATATAAAAGTTAGGTTTACACTATACTGTTGACTAGTAAATAGCATTGAGAAAAAGTATCCAGTAAATAGCATTATGAAAAAGCTTGAAATATTGTGAGAATTACCAAAATGTGACCCAGGGACACAAAGTGAACACTTGCTGTTGGGAAAATGGTACAAATAGACTTGCTTGGTGCAGGGTCTCCACAAACTAATTTCTAAACAGCACAATACCTGTGAAGTTCAATAAAATGAGGTATGTCTGTACTTCTCAGACATAACCAAACAACTTGGGAGATTGGTTTTCTGGGTCTGAAGACTTAGAACTTAGTCTCATGGGACGAGTCAGTTAATTGGCTTCATATACTGCATAAAGTTCCTGTACCCATTCCAGAGTTCATCTGTTCCCATTCCAAAAACAGGTGACCCAACAATGCAGACATTATTGAACAATATAATTAATATATCACATGCAAGTACAATTTTGCTGAAGATAGTTAAAAAATGGTTGTACCAGTATATCAGCAGGGAGCTGCCAGAAATTCAAACCAGATTCAGAAGAAGACATAGAATGAGGGATAGCATTGCTGACATCAAATGGATCTTGACTGAAAGCAGAAAATACCAGAAAGATGTTCATTTGTATTTTATTAACTATGCTTATGCATTCAACTGTGTGGATTGCAGCAAAGTAGTTAACACTGCAAAGAAAATCCTCTTGTGAAACCTGTACATAGACCAAGAGGCAGTCATTCAGATAGAATGAGGGGATACTGCATAGCTAAAAACCAGGAAAAGTATGTGTCTGGGTTTACCTTTTCACCATACTTATTCTGAGCAAATAATCTGAGAAATTGGATTATATGAAGACAAATGTGGCATCAGGATTGGAGGAAGGCTCGTTAACAACCTGTGATATACAAGTGACACAACCTTGCTTACTGAAAGCGAACAGGGCTTGAAGCACTTACTGATAAAAATCAAAGAATGCAGCCTTCAGCATGGATTACACTTCACTGTAAAGAATGCAAAAATCCTCAACAAGACCAATAATCAACAACATAATTCATAGAGAAAAGATTGGAGTTGGCAAATATTTCATTTTACTTGTATCCATAAGTAATGTCCATGGAATCAATAGTCAAGAAATCAAATGACAGGTATTACATTGGCAAATATGCTGCAAAAGACCTCTTTAAAGTGTTAAAGAACAAAGATGCCACTTTGAGAACTAAGCTGTGCCCGACTCAAGCCATGATATTTTCAATTGCTTTGTAGGTGTATGAAAGCGGCATAATGAATAATCGAGAAAAATTGATGTATTTGAATTATGGTGTTGGTGAAGGATATTGAATATTCCATGGACTGCCAGAAGAACAACAGATCTGTCTTGGAAGATGTACAAGAAGAACAGAAAACACTTTAGAAGTGAGAATGACCAGACTTTATCTAGTGTACTTTGGACATGGTATCAGGAGAGACCAGTACTTAGAAAAGGGCATCATGCTTGGTAAAGTAGAGGGTCAATGAAATAGATGAAGACCCTCAATAAGATAGATTGGCACAATGGCTGCAACAGTGGACTCAAAAATGATTTTGAAGGTGGCTCATGCTAGAGCAGTGTTTTGTTCTGTGGTACATACTGTTGTTATGAATCAGAACCAACTAGATGGCATCCAACAGCAATAACAACAAAATTCATATTCTACATCTTAATCTTTTCTCTTCAAAACTCATAAGAAATACAACTATTGGCTTCTACTCATCAGGAGCAAAAGGGAAAAGTCTGGGAGATGAAATGAGGTTGTGAGTCTGATAGACCACATGACAAGAATTGAAGATACTTGGAATCAATTAGACAAGTGGACAAGTAGAATATATGAACATCAATCTCCACAACTCTGAGACTAGAAGAACTAAAAGGTACCTGGCTACCCCTACCAACTGCTCTGAAAGGGTTACATTAGACGATCCTGGATAGAGTGGGAGAAAATACGGAACAAAACTCAGAATTATTAAAAACAACAACAAAAATAAACAGGCTTACTGTTCAGAAAGAGACTGGTGGAACCCGGTACTGTGATCCTCGACCATCCTTTGGATCTGGAACAGAACTTAACCCTTGCCCAATTTTCAGTAAGTCAGTAGATAGGCATATGGGGAGACAATAGCACTAGAAAGGTATGCTCACCATGGAATGGTCAGTCATTCAAAACCAAGAAGACAACATTTACCTAAGGACAAAGTTGAGAAGGGATGAGAAGAGGAAATGAGATACCTTTTGTTACATGGAGGGGTTTGCAATCATTGAAATGAAACAAAGTGTATGATTGTTGAATGTAAAACTGATGATCTTCTGTGTAAACTTTCATTCAATTAACAATAAAAAGTTTTAAAAAAAAATGGATCCTATCCCCAGAAGTCACCTTCAGGTGACCTGACATATAGGCACACAAACTAAAGAATATTCTCAATGCGTATGGTCCTCCATTAAAAAATCATCGATATGAGACAAAAGGCAGTAAGTACTGTAAAGTACTGTAAGTAAGATAGGGAGCAGGAAACTAGAGCATTGGGAATGGAACAACCATTGTGACAAATGTAGCCAGGGTCACTAAGGAATTTGTATAGAAACTATCAAATGGGAACCCAATTTGCTGTGTAAACTTTCACTGACAAAGCAGTATTGTTCTTTAAAAAGAACCTGAGGGGACTGTGTAGAACACTAAGGACAAAGAGAACAGTTGATGGAAAACTAACAGGCGATCTAGAAAGGAACGTTAGGCTCTTAGACTTCTCAGGAACCAGAGACAGAAAAATACATATATAATGTTTTCAAAATGCTAAGAGAAAATGACTGTCGTCTTAAAATTGTACACTTTACTAAATCATCTTTGTGTGTGTGTGTGAATTGAGTGATAGTTTACATGGGGGAATATCAGTTTTATACTCATCGTTTCATTGCAATGATTATAATCTCCTCCATGCATCATCATTCAACAGTATTTGCTTCTATTCCTTCTGTTTTTTTTCTTTTGGGGGGGGAGCATGTACACAAAAACACTCAGGAATATAATGTAATCATTTAAACAACCGAAGGGCACATTCTGCAAGCCTGCCTCCTAGCCACAAGCACACAGTTTTTCTCTTTCCATAAATCTAGAGTCCTCAGCTGCTCTATTTCTCCATGCCCTCATCTCTGCCTCCATCTCTGGTGTCACTGCTAGGGTGTAGCTTCTCTGGCTAGGGTTTCACATTCCGCTCATGCTCTTCTCCCTTGATGGCCCTAGGGTCCTCTGTTCCTGGACTGTAAAATTAACTGCTCCCCCGTTTTTGTTATATAACTTCTACCTTAACAGTTTTGACAGTCTCAATTAGTCATGATAGTAGTTACTCACTATTGAATCATAAGAATCTTATCCTCATCTCTTTTCATCAGACCCATCTAGACAAGACGAATACTATTCAGTTGGGATTCTGCCTTCCTCTGCATTCTCTGAAATTAAATGCTCTCTTGAAAACTTGTAAGCCAGTCACTTCATGCCTTTATAACCTCCCCATTTTAGGTAGCTAATGTCTAAGTTGCCCTCCCCTATCAACCCTGAGTACAGAGGGTATAGCATTGATACTTGATGTGAAGACTCCTTCACTCTCAGTTGTAAACCATCTTTTAAGAACAAGGCCAAATGAAGATTTTCAGACCCCAAACAAAACAAATGAACAGAAGCAGAATTTACCATGGAAAAATTCTCACTAAATCACCTTGAGGGGATATACATATTTAGGAAGAAACAAAATTATTTCAGAAGGAAGTTCTGAAATGCAATAAGCAACATGAGTAAGAACATAGTTAACATGTGTTTGAACAAGTATTAACTAAATATAGCAATAATAATATCTAATAATGTTTAACTTGCAGGTTTAAAATTACAAGAAAGAACTAAATGCTGTATAATTGCTTATGTTTGAGAAACACTGACTGAGATATCCACTATTTATATTTTGGTGTGTCTCCTCATCTTTTTTCTGATAACTACCGTTTATTGAACTACTATATACCAGCTGCTCCGCGGGAGAAAGATGAGGCTTTCTACTCCC